GTCACTGATGACGTCACCAGTGACGTCACTGATGACGTCACCAGCATCCGCATCGTCATCGTCATCATCACTGATGACGTCATCAGTGACGTCACTGATGACGTCCCCGGCATCCGCATCGTCATCGCCATCATCACTGATGACGTCATCAGTGACATCACTGATGACGTCACCGGCATCTGCATCGTCATCATCACGGATGACGTCATCAGTGACGTCACTGACGACGTCACTGGCATCCGCATCGTCATCGTCATTATCGCTGGTGACGTCATCAGTGACGTCACTGATGACGTCATCGGAATCCGCATCGTCATCGTCACTGATGACATCATCAGTGACGTCACTGATGGCATCATCGACATCGTCACGTGACCCACCCCCCCCCCCCAGGTCACTTGACCCCCCCCCCCCAAGTACCCTTCCCTCCTCCTCATCAAGAGCTGCGCTCTAATTCGGCGTTACAGGGAGTTGTAAACGGCTTTCACTTTTTTCTTCTCAGTTATATACCCACGCCTTCGGCCTCCCGCCACTATGCGCGTTGTATATATATATATAAATATATTTAAACAAACGTGTTCACCCCCACCACTTCGCACAGACGGTACGAGGGAGAGCGAGGCAGCGATGGACTCCGACCTCAAACACCGACAAGCCGCCATCAGCGGGTCGGAATGGGAGGCAGAAAAACAACTCCCGGCAACAGGAGTGAAACTCGACCACGCGACGCCAAAACGAGAATATGCGAAAAGAACACTTTAAGGCCCGTTCACACTGTTGCGACCGAGTAAGACCGAGAGGGACCAGACTGGTTTTTAAGCCTCTTGCTATCTCTTAGGACCAGCTCCGCTGCAGCGCATCCGGTCCTAAGAAGTAACAAAGGGCTTAAAAACCGGTCTAGTCTCTCTCGGTCTTACTCGGTCGCAAGAGCGTGAACGGCGCTTTACACTCTGACCAAAAGCTTGAGTTGTAAATTAGTGTTCATGTGCGACTGAAGCAAAAGTGTGACTAAAAGACAAAAAAAAACTGAAAGAAGGCACTTTTCAAGCTAGCACACAAGCGCATCGTTGAGTCTCAAGAGCTCGTGCGTCCCATATGCTTTGCAGGTTTTCTTTCAGACCATCTGAGCTGAGACTCTTTCCCCACGGGAAGGCGACAGAACAGCACACGACAAAACAGCACAGCGTCAAAATGGCAAAGCGACAGAAGAGCACGTGCCAAAACAGCACGGCGTCGAAACAGCACGTATGTAGCAACTTCGAGCGCGCTCTTCACCTCCCTCTGCGCGAATATTTTCGAACCTCCTTAACCCTTTCATTTATTGTCGCTGGGTTATAAAGGGATTTATTGCCTATTTCATTGCCAAGTCCGTGTCCCGACTGCTGCTGCTGTGTGATTGCTAAAAACAAACGAAGTTAGCAGTAGTTACTACTACTTAACTGCGCTGATCTATGAAGAGAATGGGTAGTTAGAGGTGATATCCTCGCGTCGATGTTGGCCGCGTTGTCTAATCTTTTTTTTTTTTTTTTAGATTTAGCGAAAGAGGAAAAGTTATTGGGAAAAATAAATCCATAACTTCAAGTTATGAACCGTCTGTTTTGCGGCGGTCCGGTGAGGGTACTCGACGTCGTTTCGTAATTACCACCTAAGCGTAAAACGCCCCCCCAAAAAAGCGGGAGATGCGCCGATTACAGATGCATTGATAGAACCGGGAAGGATAAGGCAACTTAATGTCGAGCGAATTTAAGGTGTACCATGGGCACCGATTCTGCGGGGTTCATTCGCCGTGAACAAAATGTCCCGGACAAGCTGCAAGAAAATGTTGCAGCTTGCAGGCGAGAAGTTGCTTTGAGTTAAACTCAGATTATCACCGACGAAGGCCTCGATCAAGTGGAAACCGGTGAAGCAGAAACATGCCATAGCCTCAATGCTGTTGCCGTACAGCATGAACTAAGCACACCGTTGCTGAACACACTTTTTTTCTTTTAAAAACTAACAACAGCACATTGCCGTGCGATTGATTCTTTTATTGTAGACATCACCAGCAAACTTGCGCGTCAATATTAGCAGAACTGCTCGAGAAATCGCCATAATAAGCACCAGCGGGGGCTTCGGTACTGCCCACGGAGCCTTCATGTGCGCATCGAGTATACTCCCCACTCCCAACTTGCTCCCATGAGAACGCATTCGACATATTGGCCGTCGACGAGTTGACCTTGGAGGAATCGGCCTAGACCCTCCACTCCTTTACAGTGCCTACTTTGAGACATGAATTTTTTTAACTCCATACGCTCTATTTAGGGTTCAGCATTTTCGGCTTAAACTGATAAAACCGGTAAAAGTACGACGAAATATGTTTTTACAAATTCGGTTTTAACTGAAAAATGTCAGTATTTTCGAGGGCGTTTGGAGGGGTGGGTTGGGAAATGTACCTCATTACTGACCGTATGACTACTTCCTTCCGCAGTTTTCAGCTTGTCTCCGAGATCGGTTCGACTTTCAACAAAAGTTGAACCGACGTAATGGTCTTCAGGACGAAATCTGGGTTTTTCACCTGATAGGGATTTGTGTGCCGAATTTTTTGTTCAAAGAAGAGAGTTTAATCGTGGACTGAACAATGAAATTAAAGGGCATCCGTAAATGCCGCACATTTTTTAACACCCCTAGCTTCCGTCTACTAGAGGAGGGCATAAATACGCTTGCATTATTGTCGTTTCTTGGTCTGCGTGAATTAACCACCTCTCGCAGTCGTGAAAATGGGGAAAGACGCACTGAGTACAATGCTTGGAAATTTTTGGATTTTGACATTTGCCTCTCCGACCGAAGTGGTATAGTAAAGCTAATGTTCGTCCTGCGTACAAATACGAGCCCACGACGATGATGTCAGATCACGATAGGGCCCCATTGTGTCTTGCAGAACAGGTCGCGTCGGCTGCCACAGACAGCAACAAATAAGAAATCCAGTACCTGGTTTACTTACTATTCATTTTAAACAAACGCCTTTAAATATTGCATTTTCGTCAGCATACTGGTTTTTGTCAATAAACCGAAAAGAACTGAAAAGTTTATGCGTCTACAAATATTCTCAGCAATCAACCGAAAACTTCTGTTGGTAACAAAAACCGAAAAATGTACGCCGAGTTTCAAAATAATAAAAACCGAATACGCCAAACCCTAGCTGTATTGCCAATGTCCTATTTTGACACTGTGATGTTTTGACGCCGTGCTGTTTTGGCACGTGCTCTCCTGTTGCTTTGCTGTTTTGACGCTGTGCTGTTTTGTCGCGTGCTATTTTGACGCGCGCTGTTTTTTCGTCGTGCTGTTTTGACGCTGTGCTGTTTTGACGCGTGCTGTTTTGACCGTGCTGTTTTGTCGCGTGCTGTTTTGTCGTGTGCTGTTCTGTCATGGTGCCTTTCCCCACACCTGCACTTGACTCCGACCGTCTGAGACAAGACCGGCTCTTAAGCCTTTTGTGACGGCTCATGACCGGTTACATTGACGCGCATCCGATCGTAAACTGTGTCAAGAGGCTTAAAACCGGTCTCGTCTCAGTCCTCACCCTTCTCTCCCTGCACAGAGTAGCCAGCCGGAGTACCTGCAGCTCGTCTTCTAGCAGGATGTCTGGACCGGCTTGCTAGAAACAGGAAGACCTTCTAAAACCTTGTAATACAGCCAAAGCCACAGGGGACAGAGGTGTGCTAACCTGCTCAAGAAGAGAGAAAGGAGAGAAGGGCTGGGATTCCCCTGTTCCTCCTTTCCCTCCTCTTGAAAAGGTCGGGATACACCCTCTCTCCGGTAGCTTAGGCTGTACTGCACGGTATTAGTGAGACGGAGTATAGGTTAGCCTCTCTGTCTTCCTGTTCTAGCAAGCCAATCCAGATATCCTCATAGGAGGCAAGTTGCATGTACCCTGGACCATGTGCATTTCGATTAATAGCTTGCATATAGTTTACTCCAAATTTGTATGTAACACGTTGCTAATATACGACTAACGTGTTACTTGCATCTGGTTAATTTTTTTTTTCAGGAATGTACTAACGACTTATAGTCGGTGACTGGTTTAGGGTTCAGAAGAAGCTCCTGCCACCCCCTTCCGCTTTAGCGGAGCGGACTTTAGGGAGGAGGCGACGTCCGCTCCCGCGCCCGCTCCGCTAAAGTGGGAAGAGGTGGGAGGAGTTTCTTCTGAACTGTTAGCCTGTCAAGAATTCAGAAGAAACGAGTAACGTGTTTTCTTTACTTTTTGATGAAGTAAGGAGTAACGGTATTTAGTTCCTTCTGGAGAGGAACGTACACAACACAAGTTACCCCATTCGGTTTTCATCCCAGCTCGCGCCTGACATTCACGGCAAATAACGCCAACAATAAAATTTACAAACAAATAAAAGATCAAGACGTTTAAAAGTTAGGTGTAACACCAAAAAATATTAAAAGGCGTCTACTGCTTCAGAAGGACGACACATCCATAATAACGAGAAAATAACTCCTTACTTTAGCCTAATTGCCTAATGAGAAGTTTAGGGCTTTTTGTTTCCTCTTATTCCGTTTATTTCACTTCATGATTACCATAGCAGGCCAGGTTATTGCCATTTTAAGTGTTACTGTGTCCTTTTCTAAAGAATCGGCCTTTGTAGAGGATCGTCAACTACCGTTTCAGTATGCTCGGCATCTCGGTAAGACAAGAGAAGGTCAGCAATGGCGGCTGTAATTTGGCGCGTGTGTAAAGCGTCTATACATTTAGTGCCCCAGATAAGCCTATGTAATGCCTAGACACCTCCAGATTTTTGATGACTGTTTTCTTTTGCCCGGTCTTTCCTTTCTTGCAGCATTTATCCTTATTAAACACTGTTCTATATGATATATCTCACAGAACGAATAAATTAACCCAGACGGTTTGTTGTTTCAAACAGCAAGCCCTTAGTAACAGGCGCCTTGTGAACGACAAAAACTAACACCTCAACTGGTACTCTTCTTTCTTTTCTTTCTTTTCATTTTTTTTCCAGAGACGGTATTCCCTTCATCGAGAAAAAGGACCTCTTGTTACACAAAGTTCCGCTTGAAGATGTTAACTGTTCTTATCAAGAAATTATTCGAGAACTCAGTAACTTCAGGCCTGATGCGAAGCATTTCTACGGAAAGAAAGTCCCGTTGAAGTTCGGCACATACCTGGACAAAGAGTTCGGCCTCGTGGAGTGTTCCCGAAAATCGAATCTCACTAAGGTCTTCCACAAGCAGTTCCTACTCAATCTCATACCAAAAGCAGACGTGGAGCTGCGATGCCAACGCGCTTCTAACGGGACGTCACACAACTTGAGCGTATTGGTTCTTGGTTTGGATTCGGTATCTCGCTTGAACTTTCTCCGGCACCTACGACAGACAGGAGCTTTCGTTAGGGATCAGCTGAAAGCATTCGAACTTTTTGGATACAACAAGCTTGGGGACAATTCTTTTCCAAACCAAGTTCCTCTCATCACTGGAATGAATGGGACGGAAGTCCTGAACTTGGTTTCGGACAAATTCAGCGACAAACTCGATTTGATCTGGAAGAGGTACGCGGAGCGTGGCTACAGAACTATGTTCGTAGAAGAAACTCCAGATTTCGGCTTGTTCAATCATCACATGAACGGCTTTCATAAGGCCCCTGCCGACTACTATTTTCGTCCGCTCCTTCAGGCAATAGACCATTCTTCTATAAAGGCTAAATTTGGAGGTCTGCCCTGCCTAGGACCACGCATGCAATTTGAGATTCTGCTCGATTACCTTGCCCAGTTCACAATTGCAATGAAAGGTAGGCAATTTTTCTCTTATACATGGATAAGCGAGATATCGCACGACGATCTCAACTATGCCGGCTACGCGAATCTTCCCTTTCTCAAGCTCTTCCAAAAGCTCAACGCCTCCGGTGTGCTCAACAACACCGCGGTAATCTTCCTCAGCGACCACGGCATTCGGTTCGGCGACATTCGAACGACACTCATCGGCAAGTACGAAGAAAGACAGCCGTTCGCTTTCGTGATATTTCCGCCATGGTTCTTGGCGTCCCATCCTCACGTCGAGCGAAGCCTTCGACGGAACCAGATGCGACTCACCACCACTTTCGACATCCACGCGACGCTGATGGAGCTCCTCGACTTCCCCGGACAGCCCGGTCCGCGAACCAAGTACGGCCTCAGCCTCTTCCACGAGATACCAGAGGCACGGACTTGCGCGGACGCGTCCATCCCATACGAATGGTGCACGTGCCAAACAGACGAAAGCGGCAGCGTTTCACCGGTGCTCGCAGCTTTTCTGGGTCAACACTTCGTGGCTCAGATTAACAAGTGGCTTGGAAGAGTGGCACAAAAGTGTGACTCGCTTAAGCTGGCCGAACTAATAGACGTCAGGACCCGTCTTCCGTCCCAAGGAGAGGTGAATGCCAAGATCAAACATTACTGGGTCACTCTTAAAGTCGCACCGGGCGGCGGCATCTTCGAGGCAACGCTACACGTAAACGAGCTGAACGGGAGCGTGTCCGTGCTGGAAGGGGTGAGCCGGTTGAACACCTACGCGAAATCCGCCTATTGTATCAAAGATCGCTTATTAGAAAAGTTCTGCAATTGTAAAAAATAAACATGCTTGTAATAAGCACCCAGTGTTTTTCAGAAAGTTACAAACACGCTTAAATGGTACTAAAGGTTGTTCACCAAGTAAAAATTATGAATAGATAGAAGGCTATTTCTAAAACGGTTTGGGAAACAGGGTCGGCATTGAGCATCTAGACAACCGTGGTGCCATAAAAGATGAAGGACAGTCAGCACTTTCCCAAGTTTCTCGAATTTCATGTCTTCCCCGCAGTGTGGGGAGAATAAAAATAATGATATTGAAAAGAAAACGAATAAATCAAGTTTATTTCATTTAGATCATATTTATTTAATTTAAATCAAAACTGAATGATTTAAATCAACCTGCGTTTCTCTTATCACTACATTTTTTAGACATTGCCGGCATATTGATTCTTCACTCTACCCAATGACAGAGCAGTGTGGAAGAAAAATTGACTGGCAAGTTAAATACGTCGAAATGTGCAGTTTACTTGAGAACTTTTCATTATCGATGTGAGCCACGCCATACTAGAGCAAAAACAGCTTGATTTTTTATTTATTTAAAAAGTTATATTAGTGTAATACTAGCAAATCAAAACGGATGCCACTACGGCGCATAATAATTGTCGCCGATGTTTTTTTCAGAATAGCACATTATTTTTGAAGATCACAAGTTGCTCTTATTTTTCTACTCTTTGACTGGACATTAAGCTAACAAAATGTGCATCATGATGATAGTCACTTATTTCAGTCATGCTGATGACGACGGTATTATTGAATGTTTCGATTCGGCGTTTTATGAATTTGAAGAAAATGATTCGGATGGGTCTGTTCTTCGGCAAAGCTTCAAGTTACTTGCGTTTCGTTTATACAACTTCATACCTAACGAACGCTGATGCTCAAAGAATCCATGGATCGATAGAACCATCATTAATCTGAAATGCCGGCTTAAGGTGGATTCAACCGCTATTTATTTGTACCCTTTTCCTCATAGATGGCGCAAAAATTTTCCGGAACCTAGAGTGCCTTCATACACACGCGCGCTTTTGCTTGAGTGGTGACATCTCAGCCATTTTTCCGCCCAATGTTTTTTTTATGCATTTTGAAATGCGCGCAATCCGGTGTCACTCAGCTCGAGCGCGTAGCTTTGGCTCATGCATAGACGCCATTTTACCGCCCAAGGCACGCAACGAGTGCGCGAGAGCGTCACGCGCTCGCACATTCAGGGCAACAATGGATGTCTTCACCCTGAGACAGACAGACATGTAGGCACCCTACCGGAACCTAGGGTGCCTGCATGTGTGTCTGTCTCAGGGTGAAGACATCCATTGTTGCACTGAATGTGCCAGCGCGTGACGCTGTCGCGCACTCGCTGCATGACTTGGGCGGTAAAATGGCGTCTATGCATTAGCCAAAGCTACGCGCTCGAGCTGAGTGACATCGGATTGCGCGCACTTCAAAAGGCATGAAAAACAATTGAGCGGAAAAATGGCTGAGATGTCACCACTCAAGCGAAGGCGCGCGTGTGTATGAAGGCACTCTACCGGAACCAACGAGTTGCATGCTCGCAGCCGCGCATGCAGGTCGGGCGCTCGAGGTGGGCTCGGGCCACGGTGTAAGGTGGGCTCGGGCCACGGGCTGATCGCCGCCGATCTCGAGCTAGATTTTCTTCGCTCTGCGTCCGCCGCTACCGGAAGCGGCCAACAGGCGGCGCGAGATACGAGCCAGAGCATACGTAGATCATAGTGGCTTACAACACGTGGAATAAGCTCGGATTTCCGAATGGATTCGAAGTTGCTACCACGTTTGAGATTATCGAAAGCACAGGGTGCGGTGTTGCGGCCGTTTGGACACCACATTTGGCACGCAAGCGTTGTGTTGCGGAAAGTTTTTATTTTTTTTTTATTTTTAGAGTTTAAGTTTACGCTAGAAAACAAAACAGAAATCAAGTGGCAGTTTTGCACTTCCTATGTCCTATATCGGCGTGCTCTTCGTCTGAATACTGGTTTGCAAACCCGCTCCCAGGATGTGTAGGGTAAAGCCCATCTATCCTGCAGGAAAAGTGGCGCCATTTATTTTTGTGGAAATGCTTGAGACACGTGCCGCGCGTCACTTTGTATCGGCACCCTGTTCCCCAACATTGTTGGTGGCGCCGCCATTTTGGTGCTTGGGTAGAGCAGACGGAACGGCCGATCGTCATGATTCTAAAGTGCGACTTCCTCAGCATTAAATTCGGTGTTAGGAAGCTCATATAATATTGCTTTGCTCTGTCGCGAACTGTCTAAACATTTATAGAGGCCGGAAAAGCGTTTCCTGTGATTTCAGATAAATCTTCGGATAACTGGCAACCATAATTTTAGGCCACAATATGAACAAGTGTCGTTACTCTGAAGCGTAACTTATTTAATGGCACTAGGAAGAACATGGCGTCTGAAACCTAGCTCAGTGCTGCGCTGTTCCGCCATGATCTTCTCTACGGCCACTAAATAAGCTACGCTTAAGAGTAACGACACTTGTCCATATTGTGGCTTAGAATCATGGTTGCCAGTTATCTAAACATTTATCTGAAATCACAGGGGGCGCTTCTACGCCCTCCACAAATGTTTAAACATTTCGAGACAGAGCAAAGCAATATTACATGAGCTTCCTAACACTCAGTCGAATGCTGAGGAAGTCGCATTTTTAAATCATGACGATCGGCAGTTGCGTGTGCTCTGCACAAGCACCATGATGGTGGCGCCTACAGCAATATCGGGGAAGAGAGTGCCGACTCTAAGCATAACACATTTAGTGGCAGGGTCCACACTTCTGCGCGGGGAGGTCCACACCTCTACGCGGCGAGTCAAAAGCAACAAAAAGCAACTGTTTCTTACCCGCATGGGCGTACCAACCGGGGGGGAACGGGGGCGCTTGCCCCCCCTCCCCCAGTTTTCAGAGGGGGGGCAAAGCATGTGTTTTGCCCCGCCCCCCCCCCCCCCCCCCCCCCCGCAACAGCCGCCAGTGGGCAGGGCAAACACTGGCCGGCGGCGCCCAAGGACACTGACCCCCGGCTCTAGGGGGAGGGGTGGATGGAGGGTCTCGTTTGCCCCGACCCCCCCCCCCCCCCCCCCCCTCAGAAACAAGTTGGTACGCCACTGCTTACCCGTGAACTGTACCAAGGAGTTATCTGTCCAAACAAGTGGAGCGGCTCTACTACTCGTCCACAATCGCGCGACAAGTGCACAGCAGCTGACAACATTGGCAACGGGTATGGCAAGAAAGGACACTTTCCGTCTGTCTGCCTGTCAGCGAAAAAGAACCACTCAAATACACAAAGCCATGTTGCACTCGAGCTATCATCGTAAATTCCAAAAGTTGAAGGCGCTGCCGGCAAGTGCAGACTAAATAGACCAATCTCACTAGGCGTTCGGCACATGCGTGGCGCCGCCATGAGTTTAGTTCACAGGAGGCAGACGGCCGTGCATGCGAGGGCTCGTGCCGTCTCGCGCTCTACATGCGCAGAGCTCCGGCGGGGTTGTCGCACGTGCAGAAAGACTAAGGTTCCCTCAATGCATTGCGGCAGCGGTGGCGTAGTCAAACTGACTGATGAGATCGGTCTATTCCTTTGATAAAATTCACGCTTACAAGTACCGCCAACCATTGTTGTGGAAACGCACAAGACACGTGCCAGGAGCGGGGGCTCCGCTGCCATTTGCCTGCAAGGGCCGCTCATTTCAGTACTGCGCCGACAACTGCTTCCAAGGGCCGCTCGAGGCACGGGCCTCGTGCACTGGCGCATTTGATGCTACTTGCAAGACACATGCAAACAGATCGAAGAGCTTTAGTCCAGACAGATAAAGGGGGATCGATGCCCGAGTGCAATAAAGAAAAAAAGAAAGGATCGGCGGCCGAGTGGGCTAGAGCACACCAGCTCGCAGCACGTGGAGCGAAAGTTTTAAGCTCTATATATCCAAGGAATCCTTGGTTCAATCCCCACCCCTGCTCGTTTCGATCTGGAGGAGCGTCGTACCGGCGTGCGGTCGTGTACCACTACTGCTTGGTGCACGTTAAGGACTCCAGGCTACCGGTTGTACTGCACTAGCTAAATTGATAATCTACAGCTGGGAGACAAGCCGCCCGTTGAGCCAGCCTATGACCCCAATTGGTTTTTAGACAGATAAGGTAGCACCGGTTCATTCCACCGTGGCATAGCAAGATCACTGTAGAAAGAGGTGTTCATAACGGACAATACCATAGTGAACTCCCGATTTTATTTATGAAGATACTAGTGTTATTTAGAGGTTCCTTTGATTTTGCCTAAAAATTAGAAAAGTGAATAGAAAAAAAAAAAGGAAAACGTAAGCCTAACCTTTGGTAGAAACGTATTTTCTATCTATTGATGACCCGTTTTTTTTTTTTTTTTTTTTTTTTTTTACTAATTCGCAAACGCGGAAAATGTTAAATTTACAAAAAAAAAAATTGTTTCGGGCGCCAAATTGCTCACATCAAAATTCGATTTGCATCTCAGAGTAAGCACCTGTTTGCTCTGTTTGTTGGTTGAGAAAATGTATTGTAATTGTCAAAAAAAAAAGTTGGCTTCTTTTTTTTTTCTTCATATCCACTAGCCACCAAACCAGGTCTACAGAGAATGAAGATATCTGAAATATTGTTTCATAAATTAAATATTGTTCGGAATAGTATTCTAGCCTTCTTTGCAAAACATTCAACTATTTTTTTTTAATTTCCAGATACATATTAGGGTATTGCTGTTCAACCCTGCACGATCTTAGGGTGCTTACGAGCCACGCTTGTAGCGTATGCAAGCGTTTGATTACGCGCGCTAACATAGCATAAAAAAAAAAAAAAATATTGAATCAACAAAGGTCTTGCCTTCAGACCCTTATCAGGCCTTTCGCTAGGAGTCTGCTCACGTCTAGTTACATGTGCAACACGTGCTGGCGTCTGCAGTCATATAACTGCTTCAAAGGAAAAAATCTATTTTTTTCTTTTATGTTGATTATTTACTTCTAAGAGATGAGCGCGTGAAAT